TTAATGATTCTATGACAGCTTCCTTGGCCACTCTGTTTGCAGGCTGCCTGCCCTTCAGGTGACAGCAGCGCTATCCCTTTGCTTTCTCCACCAGTGATCACTTGCTTGCCCAGGGAAGAGCTCCTCAGCGTTCATGCCCATGAAAAACCACAAGAGCTGGAGTAAAACAAGATTGATTCAGAAAGAGGGTGTGAATCCAAGAAGTGCAAAACAAACAGTCTACACGACACATTTCTTTCTCACCTCTGCAGAAGGTGATCTAGCTAATCCTTCTGTGTTGTAACAGGAAAATAATCGATATCTTAGAACTCTGCAGTGAGTATCTGAGGATGCAGGCAGCAAACAGCAGCTGTCTGGGCCTCCAGCCCATCCAGCACTGAGCATAAGCAACTGCCTCTGGTGTGCCCTCCAGCTTTGTGCTGTGGTGTCTGCATGCAGGCAGCGACTTCAGGCCACATCTCATTTTCTTATTCCCAAATAAGCATTCTGCTTAGCTTTGCCACCGTGATGTGAGTTTCCTAAATAAGATGTTCTGGGAAAGAACATGCTCTTGAAAAAAGATAGATAGTCACTTCTTTCAGAAAGCTTGGCATTCGCACAGGCTGCACTGACATCCTGTGGCTTAATTTCCCAGCCTGAAGTGAAGGTAAGCACACAGGGACAGCTTTACCCCCACTTCTTACTCCCTCTCCTCATTGCCCCATTTGAAGAATGGAGTAGCACCCTGGGATCTAACGTCACCACATCTGCCATCGTGCCAATGTTGCCTGCCAGGCACCCCCCTTTATGGTGTCCCTTGAATTATAGCCCACAGCAGCAGGGCTGGGAGAGAGTGAGCTGCAGTGACCCATCGCTGGGTGGAGTGTTGCTGGGACGCCCTTATCCACGTGTCTTTATGGAAAAACTCATTAACACCCTTACCTCCACCTCTGCCCTCAGGGAGCCCAGGTGGAGCCTGCTGAGCCATTCCACAGGGTGCCCCAGGCCCACTATGAGCTGCACCCCAGCCCCTGGTCAGACACTGCGTGAGAGCACCCAGCCCCAACAGACTTAATGTTTCCTTCCCCTGGGGAATAGCATTAACCTGTAACTTTTTAGGCATCACTTGATCAGCTGAGTAACAGCTATTAGCTTTGGACTCTAGGCATTTTTATGAGATATTGGTTCCAGGGCTTGTGGTTTGGCGTCAAAAGCACGTTATTCACACACAAAACAACTGCATTAAAATAACATTAGGGATCTGGCTGAAACTGACAAAACCTAGGAAACTCAGAATTAAGGCTGAAAGTATGTCCTTAACTCACCCACAGCATGCCTTTTGGAGCAGTTCATATTGCATGTGAAATCCCCTGGCACTGGCCCCTGCCCCAACAGAGCTGTGCTCAACACAAGACTTTGGAGAGGAAATCAGGGCTGTGTCTCACCCCAGGTGAGTCATGGCCACTGCCACCTTCATGCCCTGGGGCCAGTCATTGACACCATCGCTTTCACACTCCAAACCAGCCAGGGTACTGCTCTGCCTTGTCCAGGAGGGATATGCTCACCATCCAGTCCTACCCCCAGCAGGTGGCAGCTGTTATATGGCAAGCCAGGCCAGGCCTACAAGAAAGAAGGGAGCAGACTCTTTATCAGGGTCTGCTGTGATAGGACAAGGGGGAAAGGTTTCAAACTAAAAGAGGGGAGTTTTAGACTGGCTATAAGGAAGAAGTTTCCTTTACAATAAGGGTGTTGAGACACTGGCACGGGCTGCCTGGAGAGGTGGTGGATGCCCTGTCCCTGGAGTCATTCAAGGTCAGGCTGGAGGGGCTCTGAGCAACATGATCTAACTGTGGGTGTCCTTGTTTATTGCAGGGGAGCTAGACTGGATGACCTTTAAAGGTCCCTTCCAACTTAGACAATTCTAGGCTCAGGATTTCTGTGTGTCTGAAGCTATCGAGCTGTGTTTTCAACCCTTTCAGCAGCACCATGGCAGTCAAGAAGGGAGCTGCTGAAAAAACAGCACAGGCTGAGGAGGGCTTTGCCCAGCCAACAGCCAGGGGTGGGACATGAACCTCCAGCCCTCATGGCATCATGCCCCCATCTACTGTTGATTTGCTCTGATTAATCAGAGTAGTACAGTGAGGATGAAACATAGCCAGGCTAGGGACTGCTAGGTAACACCAGGACACTCTAGGGCTGCAAAGGTGGGTTGGAGTAACACAAGAGCAGCGAGGAGGAGAGAGGCCTTTCTGAAACCTGTCAGGGGAAAATCCTTAGCCCAGAAAACACCTTCTAATGTTCCCTCTGTGGATTGTGTTACTGTGAGGGACTGCAGCCAAGACCCGGTGCGGGGGCACAGGTTGCTGCCACGGAAGCCAAGGGGAAGAGGGGAACTCGACACGGCCATGTGCAGCTGTGCTGAAGAGCCAGCAGTTGGAGTCGGTGGACACCACCACCATGAGGACCTCACAGAATTTACACCATGGCATCTAGTGGCTGAAAAGTGCAGGGAGGGTCCACAACAGCGTCACACGGTGAGTCAAAAGCAGCAACTCTGGGACATTCCCAATGAAAACACCTGCTGTGCTCCTCTCAAAGCCCAGCCTTTGGTCACTGGACATAAACATCAAAAGCCTTAATTGGCTGCTGGCTTTCCAGAAGGTGTATCTGAGCTTAGGAAATGGTGATCTCAGTTGCACCCATGTTCTCTGCAATAAGGAAAGCAGCAGCCAAAGGGGTATTAGAGGTCACATACTCCCAGAAGAGCTCCCTGCAGGTGCCCAGAACCCCTAGGAACAATTGCCAAGCCCTTGGAGACAGGACTAGCCCTTCTCTCTCTTAGGCATTTTTTTTCACACTGTGGCCAAGTATCGCGTCCAGACTGCAGCTAAATCAATTCCTCTAAAAGCCTGCTTGAAATTAGTTTCACTTCTGCTGCTCTGCCTATTCCTTTTATTTATGAGCTCTGCCATCTTATAGGAAACAACCCAAGATGTTCATGCATGAGGCATCTCTAAGGGATAAATCATATATGTGTGTGTGTGTGTATATATATTTTTTAAGTAACAAAAAGAAAAGTGTTCAGATTCCAAGGTTGCCATCTAAAAAGTGCACCTTAACCATATTGGGTGTGATTTTTTTTCCTCAATGAGGTGAGAAAGACATTTGCTATCCACATCTTGGAAGCCAAACAAATAGCATAATTGTTTCCTTTCTCAGCAATGGCAAATGCATCTCAACTTAGCTCTGTGCTTTATACTTGTATCCCATAAACCAACACATTCCCTTGCAAAATGGCGTTTGCAACAGAGCACAAACACTGTGCTATACCTGGCACCAAGTCTGTGCTTGGGGTCACAGTCCAGACCTTCTGGTGATAAGGTGGATGCTCTGTCCCAGAAACTCTGTAAATAAGTTTACCATAGCATAATTCCAGTTTAATGTGTATGAAGCCTTTTAATGGAAAACAAACATTTCACTTACTGTGGGGTCACTTTCAAATGTAATTTAGGACTCTGGCAGCAAGCTTCCTTGGTCTTTTTTTAAAGCTGCTGAGTGTTTCTCTGTCTCAGGGAGTACAGCTTGTGTCACAGGTGCTCTCTGCTTCAGAAAGACAGGGTTTAAATGAGCAGGCACTCCCCAAAGTAGGGTATGTGCCCACAATACAAAAGTGATGACTGTACATGAATAAATACTAATCCTCTGCTGCACTTCCTAAACCTAAGCCTAAAAGTAAAAAATAACTAGAAAAGTCTGCTCGCTGACATGCTCAGATCCTATCCATGTTGCATGTGTCATGAACAAGGACAACGCTGTTCCTTTTTGCTTTGCTGTACTGCACACACGTTACCACAGAAGTGAGAGCAGCTGCCGTCAGATTTCTCCTTATCATTTCAATTTCATCTTCTGAGCAAAATGTCTTGAATTCCAAAGAGTCAGCATGCAGGGGCAACTGGCACCTCGTGGGACAGTGCCAATGTGACACGACATAGAGCAAAACCCCTGTGCCTTCCACTTCCAGCAGCTACAAGGCACTATGCATTGCCTTCTCTGCACATGAGTATACGCTCACCCTTTGGATTTCGTAGGACAGATGTTCAAAGCTGCACAAATGAGTGTCTACAGAATGGTAAATACATGTACAAAAACACACAGCATGCTTACAGAAAATGATGGAAAACAGGCCTGGGTGCATTTTCAGGGGCCACCTGGAAAGGTTGGCTACGTCACCTGTGCAATCTCCACAAGTTTTCATTAGAAAACATTTTCATTGTTTTCATTAGAAAACAATAAGAGGTTGAAACTTTCAGGTATGTGCATGTCATTTAGCTCACCATGCCACTTTAAAAATGCAGTTCAAATCACAGGTAATTGTTTCCATATTAAAGAAAGCTTAAGAATGACTGACAAGATCTGCTTTTGCAGCTCTTATTTCTGCCAATCAAGCTACTGAGGACAAAACTAAACAGCACATATTTAGAAAATATATTTTTAAAGTTGGGCTTTGGCTGAACAGTAACTTCACAAGAAAGTGAAGTCTCCCTAACTAGCTGTGACTGAAATACAGCAAACAAAAGTATTAAAAAACATGTAATGGTGAAACAAAGCTATGCAACCAAAAAGGCAGTTTCACCAAACAGACACCTGCACCCTCTTCCAAGCTTGGTATCAAAGCTGAATGCTTGGATCCAAGGACCAATTAACTCTTTCCTCCCACCCTAGATACCTCCCACTCATCTGCCCTTCCATAGTCCCTTCCTTATCTGTTTTTGCTGCCAGGTGGTCTGGCATTCACTTATCATGGCCTCAGAGAACTCTGCAATACAGCGGATTGGAAAAACAAACTAAATTCTCCTCCTGAGCCAGGTAGGTCCCCAGGTGCTTGTCCTCATTACAGAGATTGCTCTGGGAGCTGGATCCAGCTGGCAAAGGTTTCTCATTAAGATGGCAAGGCTGCAGATGTGAAGCTGGAGGGAAAGTACATAGCTGCTGAGTGGAGGTGGCCTTGGGGCTGGGGTTAAGGAGGTGATTGAGGTGCTTAAGTGCAGAGTTTTGTGTTGTGGAGTTTTGTTAGTTGTGAAAGTGGAGTGCATTTTTAGTGCATTCAGGTTGGAATGGGTTTGGATTTTCTTCTACTTTCTCTGCTTTGAAAACATTATAATCTTGTAAGTGTTAATTTTTGACTAGTTCTAGCATAGACTTAGGACAGGAAGAAGCCTGTTTAGGGCTGTTGGAGTTTGGATCTTGTGCAATGTGTGGGAGTTGTGCTCCAGCTATTTTTCTGTTAGGTATATGAGAAAAGGCAGGGGGAGTAGGAAGAGCTCAAGCTTTGCTTATTTTTTTATGCTGCAAACAGGGTAGCTCTGTAGAGGAAAAAGGATTTGAAGTGTTGACCTGGAATGTTAAAGTCATGGGTAACACTTGACAGCATTTTCTCTCTTAGGAGTATCTCAGATATATGGGAAGGTGGTCAAGGACAGGAGCTGCTGCTACTGCCCTTTTGACTGGAAATAGTAGGTGCCAATAGAATCAAGAGCAGGATAAACAAATAAGATGCAGGACAATTGCAAGAGCTCTCAGAGTCCCGGTGTTTCAGGCCTGCAGAAGCTCTGCCTTGTGTACCAGGCTGTGGGGCTGCCTGAGGAGCTTTCGCAAATAGCACTTTAATGTGGCTTATTGCAAGCTGTGCAGCACTCACACAACTGCGCAGTATTTACTGGTTGGAATTGTTGGGCCAGCTGGACCACAGTGCACACAGCCATGTGTCTTCCCAGAAGTCAGCGAGATGCGTGTTTGCACATCCCAGCAAGCTCTGCTTGTGAGTAGTTTAGTGGCCTTTTTCTCTTTTGACTCTATACAGAAGGAGATGTGTTCTGTGTAACTCAGCCAAAAATGGCCAAACTCTGCTCTCTGTACATTTCCAAGCATCAGTAAGTCTAACAGTTTTGCTTATTCTGTGATAAATGGCAATAAGCACTGGCTGATGAAGCTGTTTTCTGTGAAGACAGCATCCATGTGTCCACTGACCCCTGTTGTCTCTTACTCTGTGCTGATGGCACGTGCCAGACCCCACGTTGTCTCAGTGCCAGCTGACCGCAGGATCCATCCAGCCGACCGCTTTGCGGTGATGAATTGCTGTATTTGCTGCTGGCTGCATATGGCAGGTCAGTATCTCTGCCTGCGGTGAGCCTGCATTGCAGCTATTGCGTTCTGAAGAATGTACCTGGGAGGAGGGGATTGAAAATTAAAAATTAAAAAAAAATGAGAGAGGACGCCCACACAGGTGAAGTGATAATAGGAAAAAATGAGAAGTCTTTTAGTCCTCCGCTCTGTGGTGCGGTTCAGCTGAGGGCACAGGAAAGCTGGGCAAACACAGATGAGCTGCCAGGCTTCAAAATTACCCCACCTCACCCATCCCTATTTCCTTCCATTGCAGAGAGCTTAAGATCTCCATGAAGGAAAATGATTATCGTTGAGTCACGCCAATAGCTGCGACGCTGGCTGCCTGCCCCCGCCAGCCTGCTGCACCACTTGTGTGCTAATGTTTGGATCCTAGTGATGGGAAATGAATGTCAGCCTGTACTCTCTTCACGCACCATTGAGCTGTGCTTATGGTCGCTTTTGGCAGCACCAAATCATCAAACAGATAAAACCATCAGTCTTTTTATTTCCAAACATTAACCTAACCGCTAATGAAGCACAGCTCGTGTCATCCTTATGGACTCTGCAGAGCTGAGTCACACGATAAACGGGATCCGAATGCTGGAAAATGGCTCGCGCTTCTTCCTCGTGCTGCAGCCAGGCCTGCTGTGTGAGCGGGGCCCGTCCAGAGGAGTTCTGCCTCAGGCCTGCATGCTAGAGCTGGGTGGGAAAGCTGGTGGAGCTGGGCTCTGTCTACCCAGCACAGCGTGGGGCTGTGACCTGTGTGTTTTGGGGTGTGCACAGTGGGCCATTCAGCCCCAGTTCTGGTGGGGAGGGCTTTCCAGTCCCCAAGGTGGAGGAAATGGAGCAATCCTCCCTCCCCATGGACTTTGCCTCCAGTGGCTTGAACGTATTTTTCCCCAAACATCTCCCAGCGAAACTGGAGGGGTTTTGTAAATTCATTATGTCACGGAGGAATCTGTTTAATCAGCTGCCTTTCCCCAGAGGCGCTTTGCGCTTAATGAGACGCTTGATGGAAGGAATCAAAATTGGTTCATACGAGTTTAGCCTGAGAGCCTCCAGCCAACGTATTACTGAGTGCACTGTAATTTAGAGGGGTAAATGGAGAGGCTGAGCAATTATCACCCTGCTTGCTTGAGGTCAGTGGCGGGGTGAAAGGTAAAACCTAGAGCTCTGCATTGCACCATCCCCTTCCTAGGTGTCATCGTGATAAATAGCACAAGTCTCTGTGCGACCAGGAGCCTGCTCCCTGCTGCTGGTGTGACCTGTTGGGCTCTCTTCCTTCCCACTGCAATTTGCAGTCACGCAGTAAGGCACGTTTCTTGCTTAGCTTAAGTCTGAGGATGTCTCACTAATTCAGTAAGTATCCGTATGAGGCATACAGCATGTATGTGGAAAAGGCATCAGGAACATAGAGAGCTAGATAGTGGGACACAGAGCTGCAGCGTGGAATAGTTCCAACTTTAGGTCCAAAATCCATTATTAAAATCTTCCCTTGTGAAATTAATGTATGAAGAGCAATCCTTTGTTTCCTCTGCACATCCACCTTCTTCAGCTGCCTGTTCTAACCACCAGATGTCAGTTACTTTGTGACCTGCCTTCCTGTGGCGGGCCAGCTCTGTTACTTTAGTTACTTTTCCAAGCGTCCATGATGCATCTTTTCTCTGTGTCATTCTGTTTAAAGCTAGTGGTTTATTACTCACCTGAGAATAGTTTATAATTCTGTGTAATTGCTTGTTTCTGGGATGTAGGTATGTAGATCTTGGTGCAGTTAAGATATGGTTGCTTTGTGTGAACTGCTTAAGATATGTAGCTTAGAATTAAAAGCATTTTTTTTTTCTCACAAAGATGATGTTTAATGGACAAAAAAATAGATCATTCATCACATCACATTTATTTTACTTTCAACCATTACAGTCAATGGTCTATGTAGTGTATCCATTTAAGGTTTTTTAATATAAATACAAAATTTGTGAGAATGCCTCTTACCATCAATCTTTAACATGTTGTCTAGAGATTACTTATGAGCTATTGATATCTTTGCCACCTTCTTCCTTTTTTTAGTTAAAGTTTAAAATGACTGCAGACAAAAGCACAATTTAGAATGGAATTGATTTTACATCATCTGGTTCCACTTGATATGATGTTAAGGTATTAGAGAATTGCATCGTCATCTCTTGCTGTGAAGTTGCATTACGTTCTGCAGCCCTGGCTCACTTAATAATGCTTCAGTAGCACATGCTTAATTGCTCAGCAAATGACACAACATGTGAAGAAATCGTACCTAAAACATGATTTATATCTCTTCAGGCAAAGACAGTGAGAACTGGATCATCTGCCTTCATTATTCTTATGGGAACACAGAAGGATCTGAAAACTGTGGTCAAGTCAGATGCTTAGCACGCTCAGAATAAGCACCTTTTATTAAAGGTATATCAGCTCTGTCAGTCAAGCTCATGCCTGAATGTCTTCTTAAAACTACACAAGTGCACAATGTATTAACATATGCATCCTGTGGAGAAGAGGTTCCTTGTAGCTCTGAAGACACGTACTCTGGGCAGGCTGGGTGCTGGCATGATTACCAGAGACCAGTGGGCTTGCTGTATGCTCACTGTAAGGAGCGGGTGTATGCAGCCAGGTAAAAGCAGTATGGGATTTCAGTGGGGTACAGTGGGACTTGTAGGGGAAGAGGGAAGAAGGGGCTCGATGGAGAGAAAAAAGTGTTTTTACAGATGAGATCTCTCCCACTGTGAGTCTACCTGGAGTGGAGAATCTTGCCAATACAAGCATTGGTTCACAGGTGTCTAGAAAGTGGCTAGAACTGTTGCAGAGCAGAGTATACTAGACATATTTTTTTAATAGCTGGGTCTTACACAGCGCAACAACTGCCTCCATTCCAAGCTCAAACTTTGGCATACCATACTTTGAGTCTCTCCAAATGCAGAATGAATTAAAGATGGACTACTGCAAAGATCAGTAGAGTATTAAGGTTGTGTGGCTATTTATAATTCTTCTTCTTGTGTCTCCTTTTATCTTGCTCTCTGCTTTGAGTAGAGATAGTCTGGTACAGCCTGTTGTAGAGGGTAGAATGAGTTCAGTCCCTTTGTTCTCCCTCCAGAAGAGCTGAAATGCAGTAACCTGACCTCCAACATCTTCCGTGATTACATCTGTCATTTTTAAAATTAAATCAGATCACGTTATCTTTTTTTCCTGTAATTCCACTACATTCATTCCTCTTGCCTTTTCCTCGAAGTAATTAATAAAAAAACCAACCAACCAACCAAAAAAAACCCAACCAGCCTAACACATAGTTTTTGCAGAAGAAAACTAGGAGACAGATATATTGGAAATAGGACTGTAAGCAAAACAGGCTGCCAAGTGTGCCCCACACTTTTCACAGGATCAGGGCTTCAATGATGTTGTATGTTAGTGTTTTGCATATGCGGTACATTGATTTGCCATATCTTTTGGGTTTAATTTTTTTTCTTTCTGGGCCATTTTTTCCTAGTCTCCTTTATTTCTTGCCTTTTTCTTTTGTTGGAAGAAAATAAGCACATTCTGTAGGCCAAACTGAAGTACCCTGAAATAGCATGAAATGCTATCCCTGGAAGGCACTCCTTGAAAAGTGTTAAGACAATGGTAGCCTAGTTCAACCAAGTGTCTAAGGTGTCTCACATGGAGCAGTCAAACTGTCTGCAAGAGGAGTCTAAGTTCATCCATGAGTTCAAATGTTGTGCAAAATACAATACATGAATGCAAATGTTGTGTGTGGAAAATACAGCTTTTGTGTCCAGCATGGCTGCAGGCTATGCTCTGAAAGATGTCTGAAGAGAAATGTCCAAGGTCTCTCCTAGGTGGTGTGGATGAGTCACACATGAGTAGACTACAGTCCGTGCCACTAGCATGTTCAGTAAGCCTTGCATTTCATTTGTAGGCTGTGACTGGCCCAAAGCAGAGTTCCTTTATGATACACAGAGGAGCTAAAAGTTGGTAGCACAGAAGGAAACCTGATGTAGTGGATCCCAAAACTTGCAGTTCTTTTCACCTCCCAGTGCTTTTGAACACTTAAAAAGGCTTTAAAACCTTTCCATGTTCCTTGCCTTAGAGCGGAATAGTCTCAGAATCCCAAGGAGAATCCTTAGTGTTGCTGATTTTGTTGATTCATCTGCTTAGGTTCCAAATGTTACAGTTCTAAATTACCAAACTGTATGGTATAGAGGAAGCGGTATCGTGAGGGTCTCAAGTGCGCAACCCCTTTGTACTTATATTTCTATGGGAAGCAGAAGTAGAGAATCTTTGGCTTACAAAATGGTGGAAAAGCATAGAAATTAAGAGCCATGAGGAAATGTCTGGGAACTTCTGGCAGTACAGTTCAGGAAGGAAAGCACAGGGTGTTATGCTATTTTTGTGTACGGTCATCTGTTGTACGAGCTACAAACCCTGCGGACTTTAATGATGTCTCCTTTGAATTCTGAAATCCTGTAACTAATCTGAGTCGTTTGCACAGCTGAACAGACTCAAGGTCTCTTAAGTAAATTGGAAATACCTATAATTCTGCAGGAAATTAGAGACAGTTAGGTAGTCCCATAGCAGAGGAAGAAATAAAAAAGGAGCTATTAAATCTCTGGTCTCTGGGAAAGCTCTGGGTGAAGATGACTTGGTAATAGAATTTTCAAAACTCCTTTAGTCTTACTTGGCTCCTGTTGTATGGAAAAATTTTCAACAGGCCAAAGCGAAAGGGTACCATTTCAGCATTAATTGCAGTGTTGGGTTTTCTTAACCCTCTTTCCTAGGAAATAACTCATTGATGCACCATTTGCAATAATTAAATTACAGGCCAATTCTTTTGACTAATGTGACTCAGAAGACAGGTTAAAATAGCATCTAGAAAAAATCTAAACAGCATACCTTATGGACAAGAATTTAGCATATGTCTTGAGGTTCACATTAATCAGAGAGCTGTTCAGAGTTATGGCCTGTTATTATAATTTGCTATTTTTAAAATTCTCTGAAGTAATCAGAAAATCAACCAGCTCAACAGCCCTAAAGAGGGCTGCTTCCCACCCACCAGCAGTGGCTGACTTCACTGTTGACATAAAAACCATGAAGATCTCAGTCTAGTATTCTGCCATGTAATTGTATCCTTAATTTTGGCCTTGTTGAAAGTCTGCTGGAAAATTGAGCTCGTGTGTCCTCATTAGAAGCAATTCATATGTAAATCATGGAAGACTTTTTTTTAAACTTGAAGAAAGAAAACATCCCTGACTCAAACATTCTGCAGGCTCTTGCTCCTCTTGCGGTTCCTGTGTGGATGTGACTCTTGGCAAATCTGATGCAGTGTGAGGGTTGCTGGCCACACTTTTGGCTGCTGTTGCCTTAGCTGCTGGAGAAAGCATTTGTCAAGAGACATTGCCTTTTGCCGACCTTGGCTCAGCCAGAGAAAAGACATGAGACAAACTATGCTATCTTCTATGCTCATGTGCCTGGCATATACCCGTGGAAGGTGCTTCTCTCTCTTGAGTCAATAGTAGCCATCTGGTATGAGCTTTTCTGCATATAAGAAGGCTCATTTTTTGCTCTTTTACATGCAAAAATAAGCTGAAGTGGCAGCTTAGCAGTAGTGGAATGACATCCTAGTGTTAAAATAGAGTACCTTTGAAAATGCATTAAATAAGCAACAGTTGGATGAGTTCTCTGGACAATAAAATTGATAAAGAAGCATATGAGGTAACAGCCAAGTGCTTGTGTGAGAGTACAACTTTGATAAAATGCAGGCACCTGTTTCTTCTGAGTATTTCTGGGTCTGGAAATGGAAGTTATTGATAGTACTGAAGGTGTTGACAGCAATTCAAAGGTGTAAAGGAATGTCAAGTCCTGATTGTGATTTCTGTGCTTTTCTGTTGGATGAGCTCAGACCACTCACACTCTTAACTGGTCCTGAAAAGCAATGTATCTGAGGTACTTGTCTCTCAGAAAGGTGAGGGTGAGTCTCTGCTGCTCAAAAATGAATTTCAAACTATTGCTGAAGGTGTTCAGAGATTTCCTATTGGTGTCATCTTACTATAGACATATAAAAATGCAGAAGAGTGGAGGTAGGTTGCAGAGGATGAAATTCAGATTGATTAAAAATTGTTTGTCAAAACCCTCTGGTTTTTGTTGAATAAATAATCCTACATGGAAAAGATGAAAAAAAAAAAATGCCCAAGGTAGTATGTGAGGCAGGTAATTGTTTGTTCTTGAATTGTCCAGTTCATTGCAACAAGGAATTATAGCTGCTTGAAATACAACCTTGTGCCCAGAAAATGTGTAAAAGCACAGCTGGCCCTGTCTGGACTGGAAATCTTTAAGACTAATGGCAAAGACTTTATTTTGAGAGAGTAGTTAGCTTCAAAAATGAATAGGGGCTGCATGTTCCAAATGTCACCTGTCAATTTAACAAATGGCAACTATATACACATCTTAATGCCAGATTGCCGTTTCATTAGGCTCATTGTGGCTTATCTATAGCAACTGGCATTCTAGCAGCAGCAGCAGAAATACGGGAGGGTAGAGACTCCTGATCACTGCTATTCCTCAGCTATATGGAGCATACTGCTTTCGGAATACAGGAAGAATGAAAAAGTGGCACAAAATGGAAAAAATGCCCAGCAAGATGGGGAAGGAGGCACGTTTCTTCAACACAGCTGTGCTGCACTTGGTCTAACACCCCATAAAGACAGGGTGAGAGGTAATGGCCTCACGTTGTGCCAGGGGAGGTTCATGTCGAATATTAGGAAACATTTCTTCTCAGAAAAAGCAGTGAGTCACTGGCACAGGCTGCCCAGGAAGGTGGTGGAGCCACCATCCTTGGAGACGTTCTAGAAATGTGTGGATGTGGCTCTGAGGGAAATGGTTAGTGGGCATGATGGGAATCGGCTAATGGTTGGACTAGATGATCTTAGT